GCCATAGCAATTATTATTAATATTTACTTTGTGTGGACATTTATTTACTTTGTTTGGTGTTTTTGTGTGTTGCCAATAAATTGTCATCGGCTCTGCCACAAAGTGAATACTGTTTGAGGTTAATTTGATGGCCAAGTACTTATGTATGCACTTCTTTGCATACCTAAGTAAATATGTATATAGGCAATAATATATATATATATCGCATATACGTTTGCTTTACCCTCACTAATACATGCATACCTTATAACTACCTACGTATATAATTGTATAACGGTGAAATATAACATAACATAAATTTTCATTATGATGAGAAGCCTACCGGAACAAAACTACGATTAATTGTTAGTCACTTCTCTTGTTTAGAAAGTTAGCAGGTCCCACTAAAGTCTTGCGATCTCTGGCAAGCTTTCATTTGAAATCCTCTTCTCTTTGAGGAACTAAGCTAACCTCAATTCAAAAGGAAATAATTGAAAAGAGTTTACTTCACCTACTGCCTCGAAGCTATAAAACACACAGATTCACAGATGTATTTCTAAAAGGTTATAAGGGTATAAAAAGATTTGTATCTTGATTTTGATTGGTCAGCTTTTATGGCAGTTAGATGCAATAGTGGTACGATCGGATTAATACGTTCGAAGGTTGTAGAACTGCGCAAGAAGTCATGAAAAATTTCGTGAAGACATCTTGTCAAATAAAAAGGTCGCCTACACAAGCACTTGATTTTGATCGTTCAGTTTGTATGGCAGCTATATGTAATACTTGTTCGAAATCGGCGGTGCCGATCAATGCGCAACTTCTTGAGGAAAAATGAACGTGTGCAAAATTTCAGAGTTATATCTCAAAAACTGATGGACTAGTTTGATTATATTATATATAGACAGATGAACTTAGCTAAATCGACTCAGCTCGTCTGCCTGCTGGTATCTCAGAATTTTTCTCAATATATAATATTTCAGCCATAGAGTCAAAATTCAGAAATCACATGGAATACTGTTTTGTAGATAGCGGTAAATTCGGGTTTCAGTAGTAGAACGACAAAATGGAACGTAAAACTTTGACGTTTCAACCAATCAACTCTCGATCCATAAGGTTCGAAGCAGTGATCTTACCTGATCTATTTATTGTCAAGAAAAAGCTTGCTGTTAGAGACAAACATATTTTGAAATGTTTCTTATTGAAGACTTAAATTTCCTACCTGCGAACAAAATTTTGAAATATTTTTGAGAGCAAAATTCATATTTTCCGAATTTTCTGCTTTTTTATGATGCTACGATTCGAGAAGTGTTGGCTTTAATAGCAAGATTAACGCTGTAGTAGAATCGCCGATCCATATATAATTAGAGTAGACTCTCCTTTTCCACAAAAATCCAACGATCAAAGCTGCACATTTATGTAATAGCCCCCTCTTTAATAAATGGCGACTCAATTAACTCACCAAATGATGAGCTTCTTTAAAGACCCTTTATTTTTGGGGCTTAAGTGGCAGACCAAGAAAACGCAAAGTGGCAAGAAAAGTTAGCCTTTTAACCGAGAACAACAACAAACTCCACAAAATAATGCACAAACAAACAAAATAACGGTGACTGGGTAAATGTTAAGAAATAATAAAAAGGACGCCGAAGCAACCCCACAAAATAAATAACGAAGGCGAAAAAAAACAGCACGAATAAAATACAAAAAAAATTCATGAAATTGCGCCAAGGCGGCCTTTCAGGCATAGTGTTGACACGAGGGTGGGCGGGCGTCGTAAATTTCGGGGAGCGCACGCAGCGTCAGGCGATGCCGACAAGTATATCATAATCAGCTCCATTACAACTTACTCGTGTAAGACGAGTAAGAGACTTAGTTGAATATACACGAAGGCATTGGCCTTGAAGGCGCTGAGTGTGAGGAAGCAGAAAAGAAAGCAGCAAACACAGATGGTTGGGTTCCGGTTCGCGGGCGTGCAACAGGAATTCCCAAATGTCATGTCATGCCCGATTATGGGGTTTCGTTTTTTTCACACCAACGCGTTGCTGTTGTTGTTGTGCGCTTTTTTCGAGCGCATGATTTTTTCTTTGCCGCCTGTAGCGCGCGCGTTGTGCCGTTATTTGTTAGCATTGGCATTACAAGTAAAAGTATTTGTTCGCATTAACAGAAAAAACCGCTAAGCAGCAGAGTGGAGGGGGGAGAAAAGTGCCAAAGTAAAACAAGAAGATTTATGAGGATTTCGATTTGTCGGCTTTGTGATTTGCTGCGGTGGCGCCACACCGCTTACTCATTTCCACTTGCTTTGTTTTTTTTTTGTTTGCTTGCCTAAAATTGTTTTTGCCCTCATCAATGGTTGAGCTCCTTATTAGCTGCGCTTTTAAGCAGAACACCTTTATATTTGCTATGGTATAGTTTTAGGCGCGTCAGCTTAAGTTGTTGCAACAAAATTCTTTCGCTTTGAAATTTAATTAACTCACGCAAAACACTTTGTTTTTCTCATTTCTTCATACGCGCCACAAACTCTTTTGTCAACATCAAGTGTTGTTGGCAACGCGAAAAGTGTGAAGAAGTGAAAAAGCTTTTAGCTCGGCAAACAAAGCGCCCGCTTGTATGCTTCAACTCATTTAAAAACATATGTGCAAACACGAAACCTTCTTTTGTTGCCAAAGCGGTGACAACAACAACACACGTGTCTACACATTTCTTCATTTTTAAGCGCGCACAGGTCCCGTTGAGTTGCGTATCCTTTCGCCCAACATCGTAGCTGTTTGCTTGTTTGCATTTCTCAATTCCTTGGCTTCATATATCAACACGGTACTTTTTGGAGAATTTCTTTTCTATTGTCTACAATTTGATTTGTTTGCATATGTCTCAGAAATAATGAAAACGATTATGTGGCATGAATTGTCATTGGCAACCCATGCGCTCCAGCGTCTCCTGTGATTAATTATCAGCTCGAAATGTTCACAGGTAAGAGGTTAAGAAGTAAAAGAACTCATAGCGAAAATACCTGTGTGCTTCTCAAGCCAACATAATCTCATATGTAGCGTTTGTAAGTCGAGACCACCATAAATGATTTCCTTATATGAATTAATTAGCTACAGCTTTATCATAGTCATTAGTAAATAGTTTAGGATTTGAAAGAATTTTTAATTAAAATTAATCCTTATTATATGTATTTGTTCATTAGTTACTGCAAGGACATTGTGAAATTTATGCTTCCACCAAACTCCGAGAGGTGTTTAAATATGAGCATTCTAGCTGCGTGTGAATCATTTCTGAACCAATGAAAACTAATGAAACAACAAACAACAGTTCTGTTTTAGTTGTTAGACCGCAGCACAGAATGAAATCGGAAAAATTGGTTCTTCTTCAGGGAAAATAAATATTTATATTTAGCCTGGTTTGCTTAACCAACAGCGAAACACCTAGCTTTTTTTGCCAAAAATATTTCAAAATTGTTCAGCTGCCTTCACAGTTTCCACAATTTCTTACAGACTCAGTTTAGTGCTAAAATTCAAAAATTATTTATTGATCATATACACTCGTGTCTAGAGACTTGCACAGGCGAGATTTTAAGCGTTTAGCACTAGCGAACCAAGTTCTTCAGCAAAGATTAAATAATAAAAGTTCGTCTTTAATATCAAGTGTTAAATCATCAATAGAAAGATAGATAGACAGAAATAGTTTCTGTGAACAATGTGAGAGCAAGAAAGAGGAAAAAGTCTACCTTTTTATACATCTTATTGAAAAAATATTGCCGAACCTGCACTTGTAAATGCTGCGGACTCATATGAGCTTCTATCCAATGTTCAGCTATGTTCAATATATGTAGGCCAGCCAAGTCAAAATAAACAGCTGGCAAAGTAGTTGGGAATGCAGTTGTAAGTCTTTTTTGACTCGATTATAGCAATCAATAAAATTATTAAATTTCGGATAACAGGTAAAGGAATTATTGCCGCAACATAAATATGTATTGCGTATTTATAGATATTATGTATAGACCTTTTTCAAATGGTTTCATGTATGACATATTTGATAAATAAATATGATGGTGAACTTTAACAATTCTAAATATAACCAAAAAGGCAAAAAATTTAATGTAATAACCAACTGTTTCAAACAGTCAATGTTAAAGAATAGTGTTTGTCATATGATCAAATTTGACCCGGACTGACTAAAAACATTTCTCAGTTTTAATTTAAATCTGTATTATCGCTCTTATAGTCTCCTTAACCAAAACAAGCATATCAAGGCGTTATAAGTCTCGGCTGGGATGGTCTGCAGTTTTTTTTGATTTCGACTTATTTTTGGAGCGCTATTCGCTAGTGTGTTGAACAGTTCAGAAATTATATTCATAAACCCACGTCTCGTCACTAGTATTGATGCGTTTAACAGATGTGAGCTTCTCAGCTACTTTCTTTAGCGTGTCTTTTGCGATCACTACTTGATGTCTTTTTTCTAAAAGATTCAGATTTTATCATCAGAGATGTTAAGATCATCTGTTAAGTCTCTCTGATCCCAACAGTATTATTTTCAAGCACTGTTTCTTTTCGATGTTATCGTCATTATCAGAGATGGATGGACAACTTACATGGGGCAGGTTTGCTTTGTGCCACTCAAATTCTTGTGCTTGAGGTATTAAAAAAGATTAGGTGAGATGAAGTGAAAAGAACGAGTTTCGACCAATAACTCATATGGCATACACAATGTTAAAGAAGCAGTATTGAGAAGACGAATTCCTGAGTCTAATAAAACACAATTCGTTTGCAAAATTTTTCGAAACTTTTTCGGTATATCATTTTTTTGTTTAATTTTAAACTTAAAAGAATCTAGCATATATTCGTATACGAAAAACAGTTCCTTAGAGAGAGCAGAAATTATAGAGATCTCAAGGATGCAAAAATTGCTTCTTCACAGTGTTCTATTTTTTCAAATATCTGCCTAATTCTTCTCAATTAAAATTCTTTTTAATATTTCGACCTATTCAAAATTTTAAAACATACATTTTTTTTTCTCACTTTCAGGGAAGAGTTTTACACTCACAATAACGGTATCCACGAATCCGCCACATATTGCCACCTACAACAAAGCAATCAAAGTGACAGTGGATGGACCGCGTGAACCGCGCTCAAAGACCAGTAAGTACGCAACAACAACATAACACACACAACCAAACAAAACACAAAAGCTCATATCTACACACATACACACTCATATATGTAAATATAAATATGCTTGTAATGTAATGTAAAGAGTAGTACTCATGCATATTAGGCGCAGAGAACAAAGTACCTTCGCTTACCCCAACCCATACTCCGCTTACCAACAAAGTATTTAATTTAGATGCCCGAACTAAAATATGCGACTGCAACAAAGCAACTACAATGACAGCAACAATTTATTAGTTGCAAGATAGTGAAATGTCCGTACCTTTTTTACTGCTATATTGCGAGTTCTGCTGTCACTACTTCAATACAAATTTATAGCATTAGCATTGCTTCCGTTGTCCTGCTCGCACAAAAGTTCTTTTTTGTTCATGCAACAACCACCTCCACCTGTGCATGTGTTGCTAACATCTAATGAAACAATTCATCTTTAAGATTATTCATTAGCAAATCCCAGCAAACATATGCAGCAACGCCTGAGTAGTTTGAGTTGAGAGAGGAGAGTCGGGGGGTGTTCGGAAGAGGAAGCACACTATTTTGGCGAATGAAATATGCTTTTGTTGGCGTAAATGCGTCTACCGTTTGTCGGCGTTGCCACCATTTTGCTACCCGTCTAGTAGCATTGCCTGCATTTTCATCCTTTCGTGCATTGAAAAGTCCTGCCATTCATTGCCGTGTCCATTTGCTAAATATTTATAAGCATGCAAATATTTTACTTTGCATATGTTAAATGCAGACAGTTCGAGACAGATGAGTTCTTACAGCGGGACATTTGCCAGGATATTCATTTGCGTCGACAAAGCCGACATACACGCACACACATGAGTATGTGAACATGTATTTGTTTCTTTGTGTGTATGTGTGTGTATGAAAGGCTTACAGTTAGTTTGCACTAACTTACTAACTCACTCGCTGCAGACCGCTCGCCTCTCTCCCGCAACGTCCAAAGCTGGCAGTCAAGGACAAAAGGATTTGGCCGTGCGTCTCTGCGCCGCATGCAAAATGAAATAGTTGCAACAATTGAATCCGCAAATGATTTATCTTTCGCCACCAACTGCAGGAGCACAGGAAAGACATTCTTTTTTGCCGTTATAACGCACAGTTACACATACATACATATATACCCATATATATATTTATATAACATATACTCGTAAACGTATGAGGTATATATGTAGTTTTGTTGTTGTTGTTAGTTGTATGTTGGCCCTGGCAAGCTGGGTGCAGCAGTAAAAACAATGGCTTGTCCCTTTTGACCAGACGAAAGGTTATAATTTTATAATGAAGTTGGCCGGGGCATGAGCGTTGCAGCTGGCAGCTGGCAGCTAATGGGTTAAGTACTTAAATTAAGTAGGAATTTAGTACGAGCTTGTATTTTTCATACCAAAAATGTGCATGAGTGGTACATTTAAAGAGTTTGTTACCGTTGTGACAAGTTAAAATATTCCTGAAATATTTTCGGATGACTCCACTGAATTGATAGCCCTTTATCATCTATAAATAAGATTATTTCTCATTTCCATAAGCCTGTCTATTTTTGGTAGTAATCGTGGCCATATATTCCATAGTTTTTAGCAAAGTTCCCATTTAACAGTAATTCATAAGCTTTTTTAAAAATGAAAAATATTGAAGGCAAATTATTTTCGCAAAAAAACGCAACCCATGGGATAACCCTCTCTTCTCTTTAAAGCACCCTATATGCTTTTTTCCAAAAAGTCTAGAAATCACTGAAAAAAACCTTTCGGAATCATAACTGATTTCAGTAATTTTAAATCGCTTCACCTTAACCTTAGCAGCAGGTTAGTAGGAGTGCAGTATAAAACATAAGCCTGTTAAGGTCTACAACCTTAGTAATTCTCCTAACCTAATTTGTGCGAACTTTCTAATAATTAGTTTTTAGGAAGCACCTCACTAGATCTCGAAACCGATATATGTATGTAGTTTCGATCTGCTATTCGTAACAATATATAAGACCAGCTTTATGAAGTGTATACAAGTAGTATAAGAGCATTAAAATACTCAAAATATATATAAAAACATATATTTTATTTTTCATATATGGTGCAAAGAGAACTAAAATTCTGTTGGGAAAGCTGAGCTTAGAAAACGAAACCTTTTTCAAGGCAGGTTACTTGAAATCTTTCTTTCCTCAGTCTGCCAGTATCATTCTTTTCAAAAGGGTTTCAAAAGGGTCCTACAGCACTTTTTTGATACGTGATATAGGCTTTTAAGGTATTTAAACATTGAAGAAGAGCATTGATACCTTTACCACTACGACTTTTGACTGAATACTTTTTCAGCAAAATCCACTTACGAATGCGTACGTCCTGATAATATCCAAAGCTTAAAAAACCAATACTACTCAAAATTCATATAATTTATTAATATATATTTTTTCGTCGCTGGTTAATAGTTTTCGGAATTTAAATGCAAAATATGTGCGAAAATTTTTTTTTTCCAGAGAGAGGCTAGCATCTTTCTCAATAATTTTGTGAACAATCTTAAGGGATAAAGCGTATTACAAATTCGGTACATTAGAAAAAAAAAACAATGTTCGAAAATTAAGTAAGATAATTAAATTTGTGTTAACTAGTACTAAAACCAAAACTATTAAACATAACCTCACTCCACTCACCACTCACATATGATACCAACACATAACCAATAACTTATAACATTGCTATTTCGACAAATCAACTTAAGATAAGAACAGTTATTTTAAAACTTACAACAATTCAGTGTTGTCGCTTTTAGGACAACAACAACAGTTCCACTTCGCATTCGGACAACGACCGTTCCATTTCTCAGCCGATCCATTATCAGGCTTTCGCATGCCACCAATCGGAAATTGTCAAAGTAAGTACGAAACTCGAGATCTTATATGATACGTAATAATTATTAAGTTCGAAAATATTTAAAAATATAACATTTAGAAATTCATATAGTGAGTATATCTGATTAATAATATGAAAAAGCTAATTTAAGGTGGGTTCTACAGTGAGTGTATAATCGATACGAAAACGTGAAACTGTATTCCAATTTTAGTAGCATGAGCGCTTCTAAGACTATACACATTCGAAACAATAACCAATTATAGCAAAATAAGATAACTGCAGAAGACATTGCGCAGCATTTTGAACAATACAAATATCTCTATAAATATATAATATTAACATTCTTTGCTATGGAGTAGAACTTTTTAGGAGATTCAGTTCGTGCTTCTACTTTCGAAGAAAATTTAAACTATTCCTAGCGATTTATGACCACATAGGTAGTAACATAAAACGGTATTTTTCTGTAAGTGCTTAAAAATTCTGGTTAACTACAGCCGCCAAATTTTGCGATAGTGGTGAATCGAACAAGCAAATGGCATAAGTCAAATAGGTTGACATAATCAAATACCCATAGAACAGCAAGCAGTTATGCTACTTTAGCTTTCCACTCACTCTCTTCTAAACAGACGATCAGACAGGCGGACATGGCTAAATCGAATCAGCTTGTCAAGATGTTCTTTTGTATATATAATATATTTTATAGCGTCTCCGACATTTCCTTCTGGCTGTAACAAACTTCGTAGCAAGGTTACCATAATATACTGTGTTCAGAGTAAACAAAATGTATATGCGTATGAGGCACTTTGAAAGCTGTACGACAAAACTTGTATGAAGAAAGGGAGAAGTCAGTTTTGAGGGAGCATAAACTAAACTGAAATCAACTGAAAGCTGTTGAACTATAACCATATTTTTTGAATAAATAAAGTGAATTACCTATAACTGACTATTTTAATAATGACTTAAAAATAAAAAATTATATAAAAAATTTTCAAATATTGCTCCTTCTCTCACCCTTTTTTATTGCGCTTAAGTGCTTTGACGACTTCACACGAATTCACAAACAAATAAAAAAAAGTTCATCAAATGAAAAAATGCCTCAAATACAAACGGAAAAAATCGAAAACCACATAAATTCACACAAAACGATTAGTTTCGGTTTTTAAAAATCCCGCTTTAAGTTTGACCAAAAACGGTTGCGGTTGCCACCGAGCCAACGAGCGAGCCACACACACAAGACGCAACGACTAACGGTTAAATACTCGTTTTTTCTACACATAACGGTAATCCGTCACCGCCAAAGTTTGGGCGAGTGTGAGGGGGCGCACAGAAAAAGACTGCTCAATGGTGAGTGGTAAATTCGATTATGTTATTAAAGCTTTTTGCCTCAATGGACCAAATAGCGGAAGCAATAACAACAACTATAAGCTATTTTATTTGCCAGCCATAATGGCCGAGTAAATAAAACCTACTTAACTGGGATAGACGACGTTTATTATATTTTTTTTGGTTTTTTTTTTATTATTGAATAAATAATACCCGTAGTGATGCACAAATTTAATTAAATAGACGGCGAGCTGATACACTCGGAGAGTAATGTGCATTCAGTGGCCATTTGCTTAGTACCGTTAGCCGACAGTCGGCAGTAACGGTATAAGCACAGTGTTGCATATACAAATTACCGCAAATCCGCGCTGTTTAATGCCACTGAGGAATGAAATGAGCAGGATGAGAGAGAGAGAGAGAGAGAGCGGGAGAGCGCGCGTGAGATTAACCGAAAAATAAATACTTAAAAAAATGTTGCAAACCAATGCAATGTGGTAAATATTCTGGTTAATTTTATATGCGTGTGATAAAAATGTGAGAGTGTGTGTGCGAGTTTTGCACTTTCCCACCCTCTACCCGCCACACGCGTGGTGCCTTAGCGCTCAGCTTTAGTTAACAACTAGTAGTTTTTGTTGTTGTTTATGCTGCAACCATTTTGTTAATTTTACTACAAACACATGCAGTTCGAGGCGCACACACACACACATGTGTACGAGTATATAGTAAATGTAATTGAGAGATTTATTGTATATGTGCATATATGTATGTGTGTGTGTGTTTGGACACACATTTTTTGTGTGCGTTTGAGCGCATTATTGGCATTTAAGCCGTTGACCACTTTATTTAACCAATGTTTGCATACTCGCGTTTACACACACTCACACTCACACGCACACTCGCATGTAGACATTTTGGTTGCAATTGTGGGCTGCAAAGAAGTTTGCTTTGGTCAAATAGGCGGCGCACCAGGAATGTAGCAAAAGGTTGCGCGCAAATATATTTAAATAATCACCACTAACACCAAACACATACACATGCACGCGTGTGTGTGAACACTGAATGCATTAAAATACTGAGCTGTCGCTATTCAATGAATTTCAATCGGCGCTCGGCATTAGTGTGTGTTTATCGTCAATGGAGAATTAAAATCTACTTAAATACAACTACTAATACATACGTATATATTATATGAGCACATAACTTTGCTAATACTGCTTAAATGCCATATTTATATAATATTCTTTGGCGTATTCAGGAGGGTATTTGGGGTTTAAAGTCGAGAGAATATAGAAAAATTTTTTTTTCGAAAACTTCAAGTAATAGCTTAGATATACGAATACTGTAAAGTCTCCGCAAACAAGAATAACTTTAATAGTTTTAGATTTATTGAGTTTTCTAGCATATTTAGTATATTTTCTTTAACTCTAGCACAAAAAACCTTCGTAAGGCATTAAAAATTCATAATGTTTTGCTCTCATGTGTTTTGCGGTTTAATTTATTTGATTTATAAATATATAAATATATAAAGTTTGCCACGAAGTTTGTAGTAACCAGAAAGAAAGCCAAGCCCATCCATTAGTCTGCATTTCTTTCTGTATATATGCGAACTAGTCCCTTAGTTTTTGAGGTATTGATCTGAAATTTTACACACTTCTCTTTTTTATTAAGAAACTGATCATTTGTTGGAATCGTTAATATTGGACCACAATAGCTTATATCTACCATAAAGCAAGTTTTTGTATGGAAAACCTTCTAATTTGACGAGATATCTTCACGAACTTCAGCACGATTTTTGTCCTAGACAATGCCACAACATCCGAAGAAATAGCTCACATCGGAGCACTATAACATATAACTGCCATACAAACTGAAAGATCGGAATCAAGTGCTTGTATGGAAAACTCTTATATTTGCCGAGATATCTCCACGAAATTTGACATAGATTATTATCTTAATCAACGCTACAATTTTCAAATAAATAGTTCAGATCGGAGTACTTTAGCATATAGCTGCCACACAAACCAAACGATCAAAATCGAGATAACGATATTTTTATACAATTTTTTTCTATACGAAATGCGCTTGTGAAGGCTATTATTTTTTAGTTTTTTGATTCGATAAATACTGTGAAGCAACAATATTATTAGTATTCATATTTTAACCGATTAGGATAAAATTTTTACATCCCAGCTTCTTGTAGTGCATAAAAATTCGTAAAAAATCGACTTCAGTAGAATTTTTGTAGTTCAAATTTTTTATTATTTAACAGTTTTGAAAAGTGACACCTACCTGATAGGTAGTACTTGCTAAAGTTGCTTGATTGTTACTTTTTCAGTGTTGAGTCTTACTCAAAATTGTTGTGGAAATAACACTTTGGTCAGTAGCGGAATAAATCCTTTAGAAGGAATAAATATACATCTGGCGAATTGTCGACAGATTTTAGAACGCTCTCTACATTTCCTGTTTTTAGAGGTTTTGAATTTGTAATTTCTCTAATTCGCTCTTAAAATGTCAAATATTGTTCACTCTTTGAAAGGATTTTTGAACTACCCAATTCATGACCAATAGAATTATTAAAATTAGCTGATTAATTGTGTAAGTATTTTTTAAGATTTTGTTTCAGCAAACAGCATAAGAGTTTACTTCAATAAATATTATATTTAAAATTTCAGTTCTCACACCTCAGACCACAATTAGACATATTTGCTCTTAAATATTTATTAACATAAAAAAAAAGTTTAAAAAGAATTCGGAAAAAAAGCGAAAACAACAACATAATTGAAAACAACGTGGGTCATTCCATATCAAATCGACAAATAGTTGGACGCGACCCCCACCGATTCAAATGTATTTTAATGGAAAGTGTTGTCTTATCATAAGACTAAATTCTGCCAAAAGAAAAAATTTTGAAACAATTTTCCTAAGGTTAATGCGAAATTGAAAATTTCACTCTTTTCCCGATTTTATGTGTTTATTTATTTAATATTTCCGAAACTAATGTACAAGTATATTAAACAAAAAACGCTGGTGAGTTTTCAGCTACTTAGAGGTACCAGAAAAAAAATGTTTTGACATTTTTTTTTTGAAAATTACCAAAATTAAAAAAATTTGAAATTTGCCAAATCGTAAAGAGTGACCATCGCAGGAAAATTTTGGTGTCAAAACTTTTTTTGATTATACCTCTAGCATAGATATAGAAATTCTGAAATTTTCAGCGGGGTGTTTTTTTTTTGTTTCAAATATATGAATTTTTGAATTTTGGCAAAATAGTTTTTTTCTATTTTTCCAACCAAAAACAACAACCCCAAAATATTCCCAAATAATAACCAGACAAATATAAAAATTTCTGAAAGCCCCTCCAGCACAAATTTGTGTAGCCGCCTGTGTCACAACTGCTGAGCAGCGTGATTTTCGTGTTTTGCATATAAATAAATGCGTTATCTACGCTTGGCGTCAACAACAACAACATGCCAGATGCAATCACCTGCAAACATGCAACCCTGCACAGTCAAGCGCACACATATACAAACACACGAAGGCTTGAATGCATTAATAAATGAATAATTTATGCGCTTTCACTGGGTTTATTAATGTATCCCTAAGAATTAAATTATGATTTTAAAAAGCATTTAAATTAATGTTGAAAGCAGTCAATGCGTTTGAATATAAATTAATTGCATTCAATTCGTTTGTGATTTT